TCTGGGTTTAACTGGCTAATGCTGTAGCCAATTAGAATTGAATCCAATAGGCTAGCCCCTTTTTCTGGAGCTTACTATTTTTAATGTGTTCTTTTGGGTCAACTTTTAATTTGAACAGTATTTCTCAAAGCAGGACACTGACTTGTTCTTAACTAATCAACAATCCATTAGTTAATCCAGACACACGCTAATATATAATTGACATTTCACCACTGGAGTGTTGACATAACCAATGTTCTAGGCATGTATTCCACAGACAATACAGTCTCGCAAGCAATTATCACAGGCTAGAGCAGAGGCTCAGCAGCTACATCAAGGAACAATGCAGATTACTTTTATTCCTTCTTTCGTTTTATTTACGATAATCAGTTCTCAATTCCTCAGTAACTAACACATTGCTCATCCTTCCAAGGATGCCTTTGTTTTTAAGGCACTCTGAAGAGTGTGTGGTTAGTACATTTTGAGTGGCTGGGTCCAAAAGGGACCCTGTTAGAATATTAAAAGCAAAAATAATCCTCTCTCAATCTCTCTTGGGCCAATTTTAGCTTTTAACTCATTACGATTTCTTGAAATCTCACTAGACACCTCTAGCAAAATTATAGTTATCTCAAATATACTCAGCAAGATAATCTATTGTTGTTTATGTACAAGAAAAGAAGAGGAAATGAAATCTTTGGAATCTCACCATTTCTTGTGATCCTCACAGTGCTGATAGAGGACTGTCCTTTCCATACAGCTGGTCTCAGTGCACTTGGGATTCTGTAATGGGTTTTTTGTTTTTGTTTTATTCAGTTAACTCTCCTCTGAGCACATGGGGAGCTCAGTTTTATATAGCCATGTTTCAGAGCTTGTTGGGTAGGGTCATCCTACGTATCCCATTGGACACATGCCAAGTGGGTACTTAGATTTCGGTTCTCTGTTGCTTTGCTGCTTTCATCTGTGTCCAATAGATGGCATTGGCGTAGATCAAATTGTAATGTGTCACCTGGGATCAAACCTGTGACCTCTGGAACTAAATGCATGAGCTGCCACTGCGTAATATAAAAAATAGATCTAGCCAAAGTCCATCAATCTCTAACTGGTCTAGTTGCCTCTAGAGGGCGACAGACTGCCACACCAAGCAGTTATATGTTACAAAATGTCTTCAATTCACTTTCTTAGTAGAGGTTTTTAAAATCTGATTCATTTCAAGGATTGCATTTTGTTATTAGTCCCTGCTATCAGTAGCAAGCCCCTTTTTTAGCATTTTTCTTTTTTTTTTGTTATTTCAAAGTTTGTCTTTTACCATTCCTTTTGCCGGGTAATTCCTAAAACTTCCAGAGAGCAACAATTATTTACATTGCAAACCAACAAAGTTCTTTCTTCTAAATTTGGAAGAAATTTTCCTTACATTTCTTGAATGTACATACATTTCACAATTTTGGACTTAAAATATAACTAGAGATGTTTTTCACATATAGGATAGATATCTGATTCAAGCCAAAGAAATTCTGAATGAATTTTGGATTTTCCTGGTATATTGGATTTACAAGTTAAACATAGAATAGTTTACACTTCAGTGTGAAAACATATGGGTTGGATTTCTTGGGGTAGCAGGTAGTTTACCCTAACTGACCTTGAATCTTATATCCACATCTCTAGTTGACTTATTTGGGGGCTTTCCTACCCATCAGTTGATCCATGCATATTGTGCAATGGGCCACTTTCCACAGGGAAGCAGGGTGTTATCCTTGCTTAGTAACTTGGGGGGTACATCTATAATGCAATGAAATATGGGTTAGTTGAGTTGGATTTTTTGGGCTCAAGGTATAAAATTGCAATATAGACTTTTGGGCTCAGGCTGAAAGAGCCAGTGGTCTTGAGAGGGGAGTGTATGAGAGAACCAGGGCCTGAAGGTCTACACTGGTATGTTATAGCCTTGTATCCCAAGCCCTTTGAATCTGAGGCAGCTCACCCAGGTGTCTCAAGTGATAATGCAGAGTACCTTTGGAGTTCTGTGCACACGTTGAATGTCACTAGTCCAGTGCCCTCCAGACCTGATTGGTGCTGAATCAGAGAATTTGCCAAGCCACAGGAGGTCCGTATTGTCCAGCACTTCATTACCAACACTTCCACTGCTTACTGGGCTCTTTGAAGACATGTAGGGGTAAATGAGAGCTAAATAACACCAAGAGCCAGGACTGGTGGCTGTAAATAAACTTGATGGGACTGCAGGAAAATTGGCCACACCCATGATAAACATCTGGCTAACTAAAATTAAGCTGGACTTCAGATGTTGCCAGGCCAGAGAGTGCCAGACTAGAGAGGTTCAACCTGTAACTTCCATAGAGGAGGGGCTAGGGAAGAAAGAGATTTAAGTCAGATGCATGTTATGAAAGTTTCTTGCCTAAGTGATTAAAAATAATCTTAGCCATTTTAAATTGTAATCTGGGGAAGAGGAACTCCTAATTTTGGCTGATCTAAGATCCTTACACCAGCTGTCTCGTGTGATGTGAATTTTTTTAATTGTTTTTACTCTCTAGATGGAGCATGTTTTGGATAAACAAAAGCTTGGACAGTTTTTTTCCTTTCCAAATTTAGAGGGCCAGAAGGAATCAGTAGTTAGTAATCATTCTCAGCATATCTGTTCTGTAGTACAGATTACAAAGAGGGAAATAGACAAATAAGAGGAAGCTGGGGGAATAAGTTTATTGCATAGGCATGTGCTTAAATGCATTAATTATAATAGTGGTCTCAGCAAGTGTAAATGTTCACCAGCCTAAATAACATCAATTGTGTCTTCAGTGTGGATTTGAACACAATCATCCAAAAGTGTTCAGCACTTAAATGTGCGGCTTTTATAATTTAATGAGACTTTATAGTCCTAAAAATCCCAGTCCCTCTGTGTGTATGTATAAAGAGAATAGTTAAGTGAAATGTACTGGGATTTGTTTGGCTCTGATTTTTATCTGTGGAGCACAAATCCACTTGTGGAAACTGAAGAAACTATGGAAATTTCAGTGCCAGTCTTGTTTTCTTTTTAATTGGAGGGTGTCAAATAAGCAGTGTCACTGCACGTAGTGTGCGGTCAATATCTGTGAACTTTGCCCTAGAGTTAGTGGGGAAAGTAACTTAAAATTTCCTTCTGGTACTGTCCTATTGCAGCCTGGGTCCCTGCCAGCTTTTTAAATAGCTCCCTGAAGGCTTTTGCTGCAGCTCAGCCAGTTCTTACCAGAGCTCTACACCAGAGCGCACCTGCTTACTTTAATCTCTGCCTAGAATGGTAAAGCCCATTCTGTCCTTCAATACTCTGAAAGAACTGCTAGAAGAGTTACTGAAGACGGTAGCTTTAGATATGGACACCTAGGAACTGTATAGACATTACTAAAGCAATTCCATATAGGACCTCACACATCCACTAGAGGGCAGCACTCTTTGGTCAATCCAAAACTGAGCTGTATTGGAGTTGGCAAAGTAAAAAGGTTCTACTTCATATTTAACAGTCCCCCTGAGTTGCTTATTTTTTCTGCCATAACATTTTAAATATTACTTCTTTAAATACACAATTTTTTTTCATTGGGTGTATTGTTTCTAATAGTATTTCTCTTTCCATAATATACATTTAGAGGCATAAAATGTTTAAAAACTATTGTTAGGAGTCAGAATGAGAGGCAGCTGATGTCTCTTCATGATTTCACATCATAGAATAAGGTACATTTACTCAATGATCCAGTGTTCATCAACTTGAATGAATGCTAAAACAAACTGCATCAAGAGAATAGCAAAATGATGTCCATTTATAGAAGGTAATCAACAGAAGAAGATAGGCTAAAGAAGGTGCTGAAACCCAGCATTTGAAATACAGAACAGACAGTAACAATCTAAAAGCTACATACTGCATAATATATGGAAAGTGTCACATAAGTGTCTCATTGTAAACAGCACATCAGCACACATAATGACAACATATATACTACTTGTCAGCTACCAGGACTATATCTCACACCTTCTTGCCTGCTGCTGGCACAAATGACAGACCTCTAAATGGCTGGACAAAGGCAAGTAGTGCTTCACCACAGTGTCCAGAGAATGGGCCAAAATATACTTTTAGTAAAATCCTTACAATTACATTGGACTTCAAGTTTGCAACTAAAAGCTGAATTTCACCCAATGTCTTTAAATAGAGGCTGCATTTGCTATCTGTCTATACACTTCTATGGCCCCTGTCATTAGAGTATCTAAGCACTTCTTAAACATTAATGAATACTATACAACTATAGTACAACTACTATACAAGTTAGGGACAGCTTATCCTCATTGTACCAAAGAGATGCTAAAATATGCAGAGATTTTCCCAGTCACAGAGAATATCTACAACAGAGCCAGCCACTGAACCCATGTAATAAGTACTCATCCAGAACCTTAATCAAAAAACTTTTGTTTCTCCTTTCCTAATAGTTCCTCTATTCTGGCTACTATAAGGTACTTTGGGACATTCAATGTTTCCGTTTGGCTAATTTGGCAGACTTAAAATGTCCTGTGCCCTAGTGCGAAAAGGTCACAGTAATTCTCCAACTTCTTTCATGTCTTCCCTATGCACCTACTTATATTGCCCTGTCCCAGTAGTATCTAACCATCCACTTAACCAGTATTATTAACTTCCAGATATGCAATTGACTTTTGGCTAAATGTTACTTTTTTATTTACCAGGAAGCGTGGCATTCTGCTACAGAAAGGGAGGATGCTTATTACTGAGCTGTGCTGAGCTTTACCACAACTCCCATAAGTGTTGCTGCCTACAGTTCCCATAATGCATATAATCTGCCCACCTTTTGTCATAGTACATAAACTTCAACACTCCCTCACCAGGTTTTTTTTTTTACTTACTCTTGTAATGAGTGTATCTAATTCTCTTCTTCCCTGCAGCTCCCCTCGGAGAGTAAGTAGGTGATGTATGCATTATGATAATTTCATAGGGTTTATATGCCCATGTCCCTCCTCCTTTAATGAGTATTACTTACCTCGACATGAATCCAAATACGTATCCTAGCGGTATTCCTCTGCAAGAGATGAAATCAATCTCTTCTTTCCCACCCCTACTCAGTCGCTGAAGTTCAAAATGCCTCTGAACCACCCATCAATGTGTGTCGCTGCACCACCTCGGGGAGATTTTTTTTGACACCGTTATATGTTACAGATTATTGTTAACGCTACAGCCATCTGCAAAAGAGTATTTCTTTCGTGAAGTAATTAACATTCCTAATCAGAGGCACCTTGCAGCTGCGGTTAGTCCTAATTAGCAAGAACGCTACTGCATTTTGTTACATATCTTCAGAATAGTTTTAGAAGGAAAGGGGGGGGGGGAGAGCTGAAGGGAGGGAAACAGATAAAACTGTTCCCACACAGTTCAGAGAGTTCGCACAAAGAAGATCCCATGGCAACAGCGAGGCCCACAGTTTGCCTTAACCCCCCCCCCCCAAGAATAGATAATGCATCATCTCTTTTAAAACGGCACTTCCCCTCCGAAACCGGAGGAAAAAATATACTGAGCTCGCTGCTTGAGCGCATATGCAAAGCATCCATCGCGTGGTAGCTTCTCTCCTTTTCTACCCCTGCCCTGGGAGGGACGAGGGGGGGAGGAAGCAGCGAAAATCAAGTGGTGCCATTATAGCGTGTGTTCTACACCCTGTAATTGGAGTCACGGTGTGCCAGAGTAGATCCCTGCTATTTAGGACTCCTTCCTCCCCAGGATCCTTTCTCGAGGTTCCCTCCCTCTTTACCCCCCGAAAAATCCGGTCTCTAAAACTAATGCGTGAAAAACGGTGGTCGTGTGTGGATTGGCTAGTATTAAAGTATCCATTGGGTGGCAGTAACAGTATCTTCTTTGACTTGCAGCAAACCAGAGAATGCATTCAATCAAAAAAGCCGATCTTGTAGAAACACTGGAATCATTTATGCATTGCAGTTTCTCTCCCTCTCTCTCTCTCCCTCCCTCCTCCTTAGGATATTTTGGGTAGATTGTGGTTATTAATCAAGACCTCCTGTGATTTGTTGTTCACTTGTCATTTTCACTGAAGATTAACATCATTCAGGACAAACCGGCATCTGATCTCCCACCCCCTTTTTATTTGGAGTTTTTATTACTGTTATTTTTATTATTTTATTTTTTGCCCGGGGGGAGTGCTAGGACCCAGGAGACATCCTTTCAAACAGCAGGGGCTGTGTGCTTTCCACATAGCAGTACAGTACAAGGAAAACCCCATCGGATCCGTTATTGCAGGATACTTGTGAAATATACCTAGGATTCTTTCTTTCTTATGGCTGCATCCTGGATCTGGAAATTTTGCATGTGCAGCAAGAGGCTTTGAAGGGCTAGACGCACAGAGATTTGCAATCAAGATTCCTTTTCTTGTCCTAGAGCTCACAGACTTGTGTGGTTCTCAGTCTTCTCCTCTTCATTCCCTCCCCCTTCTCTTGTCACCCCCCTCCCCCGCTCTTTTTTTTTTTTATTCTGCTTTACACCTGGATCGTATCTTCCGCGAGCAAACTGGGCACTTTCAGAACTAACGGGGGCGAATCTTGCAGGGAATCTAAGTCTATATGGAATTATCTGCTTTGATGGTGAACTTGGCACTTGTGAATGGGCATCTGGTTCGAATTATTAATTGCTAGCAAAAAAAAAAAAGAGGAGTAAATAACGTGGATTCACCGAATACGCATTGTGATGACCAGCAATTACCTTATTGACTGATATCAAGATCAGAATATTTTGGAAGACTATTGTGGGTAAGGTCATTTTCTATACGCAAAGCCCATCGATGGCATGGCTAAACTTGGTGTCTTGTAATTGAAATGGGTACTTTCATGATTGCTGGTTATACTGATGTGTGGGGTATCTAGCCATTATTGGCAGCTGAGTGAAATAACCGCAGTAGGTATTTTTGAGAGTGCATTTTGTGATAAATCAAAGCATCAGTCC